TTGAAATCCGCCCGCCCTCCATCCGTGGAGCTGCCGCATAGTCGGGCGTGTTCAGGGTCACCGCCGGTGAGGGAGTCTCGGGCGAACCGGCCGGCCCGTCCTACCAACACGCCTCGGGGTGCGACAGGGGGGGAGTTGTTTACAAGGACAAGGCATGGAGGAGGAGGAGGAGGAGGAGGAGGAGGAGGAGGAGGAGGAGGAGGGAGGAGGAGGAGGAGGAGGGACGAGGAGGATCATGTTCAGCGTTTCGCACCTTTCTGGAGCTCGTCGCGACGGCTGGGTCCGCCTCGAAATCCTGGGCAGAGCACGTTGCAGGAGAGCTTAGGGGGTCGATCTGGAGGAGGAGGACAGGGAAGATCGCGGGGTGCCATTTACCCTTCCCTGGCAGTGTATGTGGATACTTGCCCCCCCCCCTCGCCTCCCCCCTAGAGGAGGCGTTTTCTGACACAAGTATATAGCCTGCGCCCGAGCGCCGCCATCATGTGAACGAGAATTGTCCATGTGCTGTTCACATGAAAAGTTCTGTTGGGGAGGCCGCTCCCAGAGCAGGGATGATCGCAAGTGCATCACCGTGCCTACTCGACTTCAGTTACCACGAGCTTGACATAACCGCCACAGGTCTATGTTCATACGTGCCACACTACCGTGATGGTCCTATCATGTCTGGATGCTGATGCTTCTCAGGTGCAGGACCATAGCCCAAATGGGCCACCTCAGACAGCCCCTTGGATGCGCTGGTGGTCACCTCTCTTGACAGATTAATCTTTCCTCCCGCCTGCTTCCGCCTGCACCGCCAGCCCCATTTTGCGTCCGCCAGTTTCTGCGGGCCTTTCGCTGGCTTTCGCCAAGGGCGATACCTCATTTCTTCGATTCGTCACGGACTGGTCTTTTTCTTGAACGCCCTCGTCGTCTTCGCATTTCAGGGACAACTTTAGGTGGGAGCAGTTCAGGGAGGAATGCATCGACCCCCATTCGCCCATTGAATTGATCGCTGGAAGGGGCCCAGCAATTTGCGGATTCGCAACCGAGGGCCTATCGCCGACCTATCGGTGGTGTATCGCCGATTCCAGCTCGATGTTTCCCCCCTGAGCTAGTCCCCCCTTGTCGTTTCCCCCAGCATTAACCCCAGGGCAATGAGGAGGGGAAGGAGGAGGAGGAGGAGGAGGAGGAGGAGGAGGAAGAGGAGGCCCAGGAGGATGATGATGATGATGAGGAGGAGGAAGCGGAGGAAGAGGCGGAGGAGAGGAGGAGGGGGAGTAGAAGGCGGAGGAGGAGGAGAGGAGGAGGAGGCCGAGGAGGACGAGATGATGATGATGATGATGATGATGATGATGATGATGATGATGATGATGATGATGATGATGATGATGATGATGATGATGATGATGATGATGATGATGATGATGATGATGATGATGATGATGATGATGATGCTGATGATGATGATGATGATGATGATGATGATGATGATGATGTTCATATTGATGGTAATGATGACGATGATGATAAGGAGGAGGAGGGATATCAGTGTAAACCCAAGACTCACGCACGATATTGCAATGCACCCTTCCTCCAAGTTCCGTCTTCATAGGCCCCATACAAGAGTTTTTGTTTTACGGAAGGAAGTGCCTCGTTGGAAACCAACCGTTTGAACATCTCGATTTGTGCCAGAACACCATTCCTGGGATTGGAACGCTGCAAATGGCCGTTGCTGTTACGTCCTGGCGATCTTGAATCGTGCCAGAAGGAATTTCCTAGTACATCAACGCCAGGAGTCAACGTACCTGTTGCGCCCTGACATTCCGATATCGTGCCAAAACGCAGTTTTCGTGACGTTAACCTTGGGAGTCGCTGAAACTGTTGTAAAATCTGACAAATAATGTGCGATGCGAAAGCCACACTTGAGACTCTTGTCAACCTTGAAGACGGATGTGCGCGGCTCTAAGGCGAGAGCTACATTTTGAAAACCAATTGTCCTTAATCTGTTAAGCTCTTGCAAGCTTTGAAAATAATGTTCGGCGCCAAGGGGCGAGACACGTTTTGAAAACAATCCGCCATCCATCCGTGAAGCTCTTGTAAATATCTAAGACCGGTGTGCGCGGCGCTTACGCGAGAATCACATTTTGGAAACGAGATGTCTTCCATCCGTGAATCCGTTGCAAAAGCTGAGCTTCAGGGTCACCATTGGTGAGGAAGTCTCAGGCGAAACGCCCAGCCCGTCCTTTCGACTGGCTTCGGGGTGCGACAGGGAGGAGTTGTTTATCAAGGCAGTGAACTGAGGTGGAGGAGGATGAAGACACAGGAGGAGGAGGTGGAGCGGGGGAGGAGGAGGAGGAGGAGGAGGACCAGAGTAAACCCAAGACCAATTAATGATATTGCGATTAACCCTCCCTCCAAACTCCATTTCTATAGGCCCCTAAAAGGATTCATTTCCACGGAGGGAAGTACCCAGTTGGGAGACAACCGTTTGAAAGTCCTGAACCGTGCCAGAGCACCAGTCTTGGGACTTCAACCTTACTGTTGCTTTTTGACGATCCTGAATCGTGCCAGAACCGCTCCTGGGACTTCAACACCGCGAATC